TTCATGGAAGACACCTGTGTGTGACTTCTTTATCATGGAGAAGCTTCCATATGGCTCTTGACAGAATGAGACCTTGATCCAATGGCAAGGAGACCAAGACAATTGGGAATATCATTCTGCTGCAGCTTTCATCCACCTTTGCAGCTGTTGAGTCTAACATCTTCTGCCTTCTCCACCACTGAGGACTTGTAGATCCATGGCTGGGGGCTGGTCAGGCTTATTATAGTGTTGATCTGTACTCAGCCTGTCACAGCACTGTCAAAGGATATACGTGGCTTTTCAGGAGGCAAAGCATTGTCATCTGCTGTCCTCACCATCTAGTGGTGTTGACACTGCTTGGTCTGCCACTGCTTATTCATCAGGGTTTCCCCAGCGTATTTTACAGCTAGCCTTCCCTGAAGGTCATTCCACTATCCACCACTTGGGATCATCCTATTATAGGCATTAGGACAGAGCTGTACTGTTACCCAGTGCATCCACATAAATTTAATGTAAGAGGTCCAAAATCTTCTTTTCAAGGTAAAATGCAAAATGAGATTAATTATATATAAATTATCCCAAACAGTTGTATACTTTTTTGATATTACCATAAAAGAGTTAGGTGTTCAGCAGAAATCAATCATTCATTTTTGGGAATCTACAATTTAGCATGAGAAAGGTTTTTGTATTTATAATGCATCATAAGTAATAATGAAGCCTATACTTTCTCTTTGCCAGGCCTTCCTATTTGTTTCACTTAAAAGACATTTTGCTATAAAAGGAATAGTTCTTTTAGAGTATTTTTTAATAAAAGCATTGGCCAGATTAACTAATGCTATTGCAATTCTATGTATCAACATACACCAATAAAGTAGATCTTGTACTTCAAAATATGTTGCTTTTTCTGCTTATTAGTCACTTTCTTTGTCAAAGGAATACAAGAATTTTAAAGTAAATGCTTCTGTACAAATATATTTACAAAAAGGTGTACAGAGAGAACAAACTATCATGCAAGGAATAAAGTAGATAATTCATAGTGTCACAGCACATTATATGAGGTGAAATATGGTAAATTCATCAGATTACAAATTACTGAGTGGCTATTACTCACCTGTTTAAGTTTATTACAAAAAGAAGTAAGCAATCATAAAATAATAATTAAAAAAAAAAAAACGTTATTCACCAGAGCTGAAAACAGAAGAGCTTTTCAACCAGAAACATCATTTTGTCAGAATTAATTGAGGTTACAACTGCTGTAGTAATGATTCCTGGTCTGACCCTTTGCTGACATCCTCTTTGGTCTTCTAGGATGGGGTGGGCAAAATGATGGATCCAGTTGGAGGCTGAATTCCATTTCCCAGCATCCTCTGCCTGCGTTGCTGCAGTCTGTTTTCATGGAGACCCTCCAAGGAGCAGAGCCCTAACAGCATGGGGTCGAGGTTTCTACAGAGACCGGCCCCAGCAGCACTGGCAGGGTGCATGGCAGGGTGGGGAGATGCTTTGGGGCTGGGATCTTGCAGCATTGACAACATGGTTCAGAGCCAGGGCAGAGCTGCAATTTGTAGATTGCGGCTCTGCCCCAGCTCTGGACCATGCTGTCACCATGACAAGATCCCAGCCCCGTAGCTGCTCCCAAACCCAGCCATGCACCTTGCCAACACTGCTGGAGCCAGTCTCCATGGAAACCCTGGTCCCATGCTGTCACGGCTCTGCCACTCCTGGGATCTGCCTGGAAACTGGCTGCAGCAACACAAGCAGGGGCTGCTGGGAAATGGAGTCCACCATAGGCCCAATCTGGCCTGTGGGCCACACTTTGCTTGCCCCTCTTTTAGAATTTACTTGTGTGCACTATATACACTCATCATGTATGCCAGTGTTTTTCCATGTGGGGTGGGCACAGTAGTTTTCAGTAGTTTTCATCCTTACTGTTCCTTCTGTGAAATCTTCTTGGTCTAGCTGCTCATGTTTAGTGACCGCTTCAAATCGCCACAGCTCTTGTGGTCTCCAAAATCTGTTGTTCTGCTGCCTCATTCATCCTGTCAGCTTGCTGTTTTCTATTACCTAACAATTTGCCTATATTAAGTCATCCCCCTCCCTGTTTTCACTGTCAGTGGTGTGTAACCCCTTCTGACACAGCCCTTGACTCTCCTTCTGATGCCACATTATTTTTGTAATGCACTTTTGTGTACTTTTCTTGCCCTGAGCTGTCTGCCCACTCACTCTTTAGAGCATAGTGTTTTCCTTGCTGCACATTTTCAGTCTCACGTGTTCTTTTTATGAACAAGAGGGTCTTAACTTAGCCTTACCATGTACCTGTCAAGTGTACGCCATTATCTATCAAGGGACAAACAAGGATTGCTCTCTTCTTCTTTAAATACTGCATCACATTAGACATTGTTCATCACATGTATTATCATTTTAAATATTAACACAGCTGAATATGTAAATAGAAATCTTGCATCATTGATGGCTAATAGGGAAGCAGGTGCATTCAAAAGACAGAAATTATTTACAATAATAAAGGGGAATAAAATTAGGTATAACAGGATCATGAAATTAAGGGTAGGACACTTGGCTGAATATTAAGAAGAATTTCCTAAGAACAAAATATATTAGTGAAATAACTTGATTATTGGAAAGACAATTTAAAGACAGACTAGACAATTTTGTGGTAGCTGGGAGGGATAGGGCCTTTTTCATTTCAAAAGTCTGTGCTTCTGAGGTCATACTACATATGGATATTCCTTTTTAGTTGCCATGAACTCAAAGATGGTTACATAAAATCAATTATTTGTAAACATTCTCTGAAATATCCCTCCTTGCAATCAATAATGGAATTGCATAAGTGTAACTTGGAGTAAAAGCTGGCTTAATAGCATTAATTTAATTAATGGATTATTGAATAACATAACAGTAATTTATTATAGCCCCTCAGTGGCAAGTCACCTTTGGTGCCTGCCACTTCAAGAGGTTTGAGCAGGCTGTGGAGCAGCAAGCAGGTGTGAGTAGGCTTTATGAGGCAGTCACATGACCATAAGAGGGCTCCTGGATTTGAGGATCGAGTTGGGCAGCCTTAGTATAAAAGCAGGCCCTCAGAGCTGAGCTGGCAGTTGCAACTGGGGAGCCAAAGGGTGAACATCTTCTGGCCAGAGTACTGCTGGTCCCAGAACACTTGGAGGTTAAGGGTAGAAACTATGAGGATGGAGGAGGTTCCTGGTTTTGGGGAATGACCTAAAACTACACCCTGTTAGGGTTGGATGGTGTGGTGGGGCTGCCTGGGTTGGGGAGGTGCCCAGGAAATGCCACACAAGTGCCTTCTTAGTGAAAGGCAAGTATGGGGTGCTGTATAGTCTCAGCCTCCATGACCTGGTGGGTTACCCCATAGAGGAGACAGACAAGGGGTCCAGGCATGTCATCAAACACCTGAGGCCCAACGGACAAAATGCTTAGTAGTCCCAGTGAGGGGGTGGGTGAGAAAGCAGTAGGCCACGTAGAGTAGGGTTCATATGGGTGGGCCTGAAGGACTGTGCATAGACTGGCCTTAGTGATCAAGTGGGCTGTGCTTGGAGGGGTCCAAGAAGGTGGACCATATGGGAGAGTGAGCGGCTCAATAACACCCAGAGTAACCTTGACTGGCCCATGTTGGGGCCAGGACCAGACCAGGTGAAGGACCATGAGGGATGGCCAGAGCCAGGGGCCTTGAGTTCCGACTGGCCTAAAGGAGAGGCCAGGGCCCGTGTGGCCAAAGGTCCTGGAGGGGACCACTGCTGAGAAAGAAAAGGGCTTAGGGAGTTTTCCAGCCCAGAATGACGGAGGAGATTAGATTGCCTGAGGAGGAGGGATCCAGGTGGGGTCTGAATATCAGGCAAGCATACACTGAGGCCCAATGTGAGGCTAGAGCCATTTACTGATGCCTTTTGTGAGGCATGGGACATGGTGTAGGGATGGGATGGAGCCGTGTATTATGCCATTGGCATTGGGCAGTAAATGAGCAGCCTCCCACCTTGTAAACAACTACTTCCAAAGTTACATCAAAGGCATGGCAGGTGAAGCAGGTATGCAGACTGCCCTAGACAGGTGGGTGGGCCAATGATTGGACCGGCCTTGTGACAGCCCCCTATCACACCCTCTCACTCGGATCCGCTGAGCTTGCATTATAATGTTGTAGTATATTGCTGAGAAGTACTCGTGTTCTAATTCTCTGTGATTTATGAGTTTCCAAAAACTGTCTTTTGAGAGTACATTTCTCATTCTCATTCTAAGTTCAAAAATAAATTTGATTTTGAGATTTAAAGAAAAGTTGGATGGCCATTTTTTACTTATTTTCACATGGAAAATAACAGTTTCTGGGCTTAAGTGCTTAAAAAATAGGGATGAGGAGTATTAGAAAAATACACTGTGCACATAAGTTTCTAAACTAATATAAGAATGCAGGGTTTAAATAATTCTAGCTATCCATGAGCATGTGTGTATGAAGCATTCTTAAGAGTGCCTCTATTTTTTTCCCATGAACCCAGATGAAAAAGCCTTCTACCTTTGATGCTGCATGGCTTGCATTTTCAAAGATTGTGTTCTGACTGGAGTGCATTCAAACCTACACAGCTTGTAGTACTTGTAGCTGGGACCGGCAGATAGGATACTAGACCTCTGGAGTGACATCTGATGTAGTCATCAAAGAATCCCCACTCCTATAGGATTTGCAAAAGAAACTGTGCATCTGGTAGATGAGTAGGTATGCTGTGCTTAATTGAGGTTTGTAAAATTTGACCCTATGTTTTCTTAAAATTACTCAGTTTTTGAAGCTCCATAGCTACAAAATACATAGTGGTGCATCCTTTCATTAACAGGAATGTAGACATTTAGAAAAGAGATGTGACTTTTATAGATTCACTGCATTTATCACTACAAGCAAATTACTGTAACAATCCTTTGGTATTCTAATGTAAAATCAAATAAATACTGCATTCAGGAAGTGAAAACTGCCATAATTGAGCCAAATGATTTCAAGTTAGAATACTCACCGTCCATCAAATGTGGTAACATGTGGATCAGTGAAAGAGTAGCAGTTCCCTGTTGGGAGGTCTTGAACTGTGACCTGGTTAAAATGAAATAGGTAATAAATGCAATCTATGCAGCAGTTTTTCTTCATTATTTTCCTTCACAAAACATTAGGGGCAGCATTCATGTGTCAAGTACAAACTGAAACCTAACTTATAAAACATAATGCAGAATTGGTACAGAATAGGATTCCTTTCCAAACAACTGAGTGTAACTATCTACAGTCTGGGAGTTGAAGGTATTATCATTTTCACCTAAGTTAATGGACTGCCATTCTCTTTTCTGTTTGGTAAAAAGAGACGATTTTCCTGTCAAATTTGTCCATGGAGAAGCAGAGCCTTCACTGAAATTAGCAAGAGTTTAGAACACTCATTAAATTGCACTAATTTCAAAGTCGGAAGTGTGGCATAAGGTATGCTATAATTAAGGATCATTAACATATTTTAGGAGCCACTAACTGTCCGCAGGTGTGACCTTAAATTTTATGGTATGTAGTTCCAGTGATTAATTTATTTCCCAGGCAGATTATAGACCAAATTCTGAGATCAGTTACTCTGAAATGACAGAGTAACTTCCCACTGATTCTAAGCTATCAACTGAGTATCCCTTGACTCCAGGGTTGCTAGAACCATCCTCACTGCATATGAGACTGAAAGGTGCTACCACCACATCCCAACTAACATCCCCCCACATGCACCCCAACTTTTCCCCTGGGCTATTTCTTTTCTTTTCTTTTTTTTTCATAATTACTTCATCAGTATGGAGAATGCAGTGACCCTGATGCTACAAGTTAGTGAATGCATCCATCTTTTCAAGCACGTTGATTTTATCAAATTGTTCAGTACAATATACAAGGATTACTGCAGTACCAAAGACTATTTTGATATGAATACATTGCACTGATTTTTTTTTCTCAGTTGTGCTTTGAGGAGCTATTGTACATTACATTACAAGTAAGGTGGTTTCCTTATTCTTCTCAAGGATCAACCTTGCTTAACTGGGATCAAATGCAATTTATTATTAAAATAGGGAATTGGACTTTACATTTTCTCGATTATCATGTTTTAATAAAAGCATTAATACCATCAAAAATTAATAGAGACTTGATTGCATCGCATTGAACTAGCTGCAATTACTAATGTAAGAAAAATACTTAAAATATTTAAGGTAAGATGACATATGGGAGGCAAGAAAATAGATGCATGTGTGTTGTACATTTTAGGTACCGTTCCTTTGGACCTAATTTTGATCTAATTTATTTCAGTGTAACTCCCCCAAAGTCACTGATGTGACACTATTTAAAGCCTGTGTAACTGAAAGAAGAATACATGTTGTCCTCAAAGTCTGGAGATAAGTTTTGACCAAAAATGACAACCAGATATTTAATTAGAGGTGTCTTTGCTTGTACTGAGAATATATTGGATTTGCCAGCTCCTTGGAGTGGGATCAGCCATGCCGGGTTGTGTCCCAGCACAACTGATCCACTTCATTGGTCTTTCTGGTTCAGGCCTCTGCCAATCCTAGGGCTTCAGGGGTTCAATCCTATGAGACAACCTGGGTTATCAACTCGGGGCATGCCTCTGCAAAATGGGAAAACCCTGGGGTTCCTGCACAGGAATTCTTTGGCCGTGCAGGATTGGGCCCCCGCAGTCCTTGGAAAATTGGCTTGGGACAGCTGGAGTTCAGGCAGGTCTAAATTGCCTGTACTTTCCCCCCATAAAGCAACCAGACGTGGTCTACCAAAAAGAAGCACAATTTTTACCACCTTTAGTCATGGCCACAATTTTGGGCATTTGTGGCACGAGAGGCATTGACATCTTTTTATTCGGGCTTTGCAGCTGTTTACAGTTTATGTGTTTTTTAGCCAACTGAAATGTGCATTCTGGCACAGTGGTCCTTTCCTTCCATCACATAGAAACATTACTGTACACTTCTATCACAGCTCTCTTCTACAAATCTCAAGGAACTGCATGAACATTAGGCTAAGTCCTCTTTGCCTCAGTCACTTGAAAAGGGCTTTTGAAGTAAATGCAAATAAAACAAGCAGGGTTGGCTCATGAATTCTAATTATTTTTATTATGCCCATTTTATACATGGATAAACAGAGACACAGAGAGGTTAAGTGTATGATCAGAGGTCTCACAATGAGTTATTGGCAGAGTTGAAAATTGAACACAGGAGACCTGACTCTCTGTGTCCTTCTCTAATTACTAAGTGACTCTCTATCACCTGAATTAGCTTTGTTGTGAAGCATAGCTGGGAAAGCTTAACCAATGGAAGTAAGTTTCCTTGCGGGGCAGCTTTTCTTTCCTGTTCTCTGTTCCACAGCATATCTCCTTCTCCTGGATGTTGTTTTCCTCACCTCTTTGTAAAGGAACGTTCAGTCCCCAAACAGGCTTTCCCTGCTCTTAAGGCACGTACATTCAAGTGTGATTACAAGTATTATCCAGCTGTTGGTCTTGCTGATTTGCTGACTAGTAACCAAACACAACACAAGTCTGCTAAAACAAAATGCTCTGCGTGTTATTTTTTTGGCACATTAGGTCACTGTGCTGACTTACTCTGCTAACAATTATCCCCTAATGTGAAAGATTTTTGTTGTACTTTTCCATCTCCTCTCAGCAAAACTTCTGCTTAAGTTTGCCATTTTTTCCCCAAGTTAATTTAATAACCAACCTTTACATCCTTTGGTGTGTAAGCCCTCCAGAAGAGATCACTGCTTTTGACTGGCTCGGCTCTGATATAACTGACGCGGTTTCCATCCTGGGCAAAGTCTGTCACCGCTGTCACAGTGAGTGAGGCTCTTGCACAGCTGCCTTCTGTACAGGGCATCTGCTGCAGATCCACCTGGCATGTTGAAAGGGCTATGTTTGGGGGTCCCTGGGCGAGACTATCTAAAATGTACATGAACACTGAGCTTGATAAAAGATATTGAACAGTTGTCCCCACGCTGTTTACTTTCAAACATACATATTCCTTCTTCAGACACACATGTACGTTGAAACCAGATGGGGTTTTGTGTGCAAACTGTGGTTGTGACTAACCTAATCTGGCATCACTTTGCAGATATTGGTTGTATTTCTCTTTGCAATACATATTTTCCTGTGTTCCCACTATGTCTTTCTATCTACAGGTTCTTATATCTTCCTGAGTGACACTCCTATCCCAAGCCCACAGAATAAAGATGACAAAGAATAAGACTATGCTGGAAGAAGAATCACAGGCCAAGGTACTTTAAAATCTATTGTCAATTTGCCCGTGTGTTACCTGCATCACAAAATAGAGTTGGTGGAAGTTTGTTTAATTAGAAATTAAAGAGGGGTTCAAGTTGTAGGAGGGAAGATGGGTGCTTAAATCATTATTGGATGAATTTGAGGTTTTTGGAAGAAATAAGTTGACTGTGTTTTGGGAGCCCTGTGTTTTCCCGCTCTACCACACTTTCTGCGGGACCATAAAGCATTTCAGAACATGGTGTTTAGAGCATTAATTTCAGAGGTGGGATATGCAGATTTAAATCCTCTCAGGAAGAGGAGAGAATCTTGACCTATGTCTCTGCCCTTCTTGATAAGTGAATTCTGTACCCACTGGGCTACTGGCTAATAGATTGTCCTCCACACCCCACTAACTTTATGTTGTGTGTGTTGTGTGTATGTGGATCCAGCTTGAAAGTTGAAAGTTTATGAGCAGAAAGAAGTAGTTAGTCATGTTAGAATCAAATCAGGTGGAAGGCAAGGTAGATATGCACCTTATATACCTTATATACTGTGGCGGACAATTATTTTGGGTAGAGGACCACTTAATGAGTTTTGGGAAGCTGTCGAGCACTGCGTGGATAGCTGCGCCCCTTGATGGTTGCTCCGCACCCTTGTCACCATCTTGGGATGGAAATCCTACCCCTACACCCCTAATCTTTGACACTGGAATTCCCTCCCCTTGTCCCCCAGAAATGCTC